AGAGAAAAACAATGTTTACATTTAGCTGTTCTATCAGCAAATGTGATTATCGTAGTATCTTTGGATTTAACCTCTATAGTAAGGATCCATTTTAAGTTTCCTAAGTATGGTTATGACAAACATTATTGCAATTAACGTTTAACCCAACCTGAATTAACAGCAGATAACCCATATGCACTTAATAAGCAACTACTACTACTATTTATCTAGGAACTTAGCAATTATTAAAAACACTTACAAATGGTTTGCAAGAGGATCTCTGCATTTAAGACACTCTGAGTAGAAGCAGCACAATTGAAGGGACAGTTGAGAATATTTTCACTATTTTATAAAAGTCTTAAAGGCAAGATGAATAAGTTTTACATGCTTGTGGATCTATTTTATATAAGTCAATTATTATTTGATTCAAGAGGACATTATCATCTAGGTGCTAGAAGCATGAAAAGAATGAGTGCATGTTTCATGTTCTAACTTTACAGAACCTGCAACAAAATTTTTAGATTTATTTTAGATACACATTAATCAAATATGAAGTTCAACAGCAGAATTTTGGGGTGTTGATAATAGCATTCAGGATATTTACAAACTTGGCAGCTCTTGCAGCAGCTCATATTTTATGTTAACTGCAGTTTTAGGCTAAAGTTTCAATGAGAGGTTATGTACTATGAATGTAATGTCTAGGTTATTTGATTCCCTTCAATTTTGCATTTAATGCAAATAGAATTAAGATTGGAACATTTTTGATGGTAAGAATCCTTCTTCTAAATACCCTTTAAATTGTATATTAGGGGTAGGATTAAAATTGTTCTAGGCAACTTCCACAAATATAGATATTTAGGAAGACTACAGCAGGACATAATGGGCACGCCTTTTTATTGGCGCAACGCATTAATTCTAAGTTTTAATATTTTACCCTTTGGAATACTATTTGAATTGAATGTTCTTAAATATGGTTAAGATCCTTTGCAACTGCCGTAGCTTAAGCAGTTTCTTGACAAAAGCCATTCAAGAAATATTTCAGAATGAATCACAAGGCGAGGAAAACTTTCTATCATTCAATCGCTCGGCATAATTGGTTACTTCTAGTTCATTTCTTATAAAATAAATAACGTTTTAATGATAATTGGAGGGAGACTTCATAAATCTTCTTTTTCATCATTATTTACACTGCATTCATTTAGTGTATAGTGTTCATTATACAGATGCATCTGAGTCTAGTAATTAAGTACTGTGTGAAATTGCAACTGGAAATTCTAATTGAAAATGCTAGAACAATTTAGTGAGTGCATATTTAAGATTTAACAGAAATGTTAATGCAGCTTCAAGACCTAAGCACCTTGATTTTATTCTGAAATATCAACTAAACTCTTAAATATATTTTAAGACCGCATTTAGTTGCTATAAGCAAGCATTACTATTCAAAGAACAGCCCTCACACCTGTATTTGTAAAATGTCAAAAATTTAAATACGTTGTTAATCAATTTCTCAAGCATAATGATTTTTATATATAAAAGTACATCACTTATAGAATTCATCACTGTTTTATAAATAGTTTCTTCCATTTGAGAAACAATAAACAACACACAAAGGCAGAGTTTCCTGTGGCTTAACAGTAATGTCTCTTAGATATATGCACACGAATCGTTGTAGATTAAAGACTATTGCTATTGTGAAATTTTTAATAGTATTTGACACAAGAGCTTTAGTCTCGACTACAAGGTTCGCAATCTCTGTTATTGATTTGATCTCAAAGTAAGCAAGATATACAATATCCTTTTTTTGTTGTTTCTTAAGATAGGAGAAATACTTAGAATAACTATTCAGCTTGGACCACATGTCGAATATCAAATTACAACTTGATTACTATTCGTTAACTAAGTATATTGGACAGTTGACATGCAAACATCAATACTTTTTGTACTAGTTTAATAAAAGCTATGAATACAACTAGTATATGCGCTTTTATCTTAAAAATGGTACATGTTTTGTTAATTAGTTTAATGTATTTTTAATATCATAATATCAGGATGAGAAACTACAATAGTATATCTTGCTTTTGTTCTACATGTACTAAAGGATATGTGCAAGATAAACATTCATTAATTAATATCAAAGGAGTAAGCAACACTATTTCTATGTGTGGGATACATCAAAAAGTTGGACAAGCTGACATAAAATACTCACTACTACCATTATTGCATTCAAATTTCGTGCAAGCCAAATATGGAGGATATTTAATAAATATGTCATAATTGGACTGCTCTAATTACATATTAAGTAATATTGACGAGTAAACTAATATCAAAAACAAAAAAATGTGTACAAAGGGTAGTAGCTGTAGTACATTTATGGCTTAACCAACCTAAGTTTTATATTCTGGTTATTAGTAAAATTAATTGCCTTTTTTTACATCAATATCTAATAAAAATAATACAAGATGGAAACTCACAGAGACCCCACAGCAATGGGTATTTGGAAAGCAGCAGAATATGAGCTGAAACATGCATTAACTTCAGTCTTGCATATAACAAGAAGGATTACATCTTCTAAGTAGCCATTTAAGCAAAAACTGCATTCTATTGAATCAAAGCTAACAGATTTACAAAGATCACTATTATAGATACTGTTTAAGTTGAAATTGTTGCACGATCTCCATTTAGTAACATAATTCTTGAGAT